TTTTACTTGGATCCACAATCAACACCCACGGAAGCAGCAGTCAAGAAATCAAACCATGTATTGCACTCGGCAAATCTGCTAAAAAAGACCTCTTCAAAGTGTTCAAGAGCAAAGACGTCACTTTGAGTATTAAGCGGCACCTGACACAAGCCACGGTATTTTCAATTGTCTCATATGCATGTGAAAGCTGCACAATGAGTAAGGAAAACCGAAGAAAAATGGATTTTGGAAGAAGTAGTCACAAAACGGGGAGCCCTGGTGTCTCAGTGGTTAAGCACTGGGCTGCTAACCAAAAGGATGGCAGTTCAAACCCACCAGCTGCTTAGTAGGAGAAAGATGTGGCAGCCTGCTTCTGTAAAGATTTGTGGCCTTGCGAATTCTGTAGCGCAACTGTACTCTGTCCTACAGGGCCACTACAAGTCGACTAGAATCAACTCATCAGCAGTGAGTTTTGAATTGGTTTAGTCACAAAGACAAGAGAGCTAGGTTGCTCTGTATTAAGGAATAAATTGGAGGTAAGGAAGCAGAGGCAATAAATGTGTCCTACAGGGTCGCTATGAGTCGGAATCAACTTGATGGCAACAGTTTTGGTTTTGGTTTCATTGCTGTAAGAAGTTGATTAGGAAGAGAAGGAAAATATATGATTAAACCAAAAACCACTAGCTGTCAAATCAATTCCAACTCACGGCAACACCCCTGTATGTCAGAGTAGAACTATGCTCCATAGAGTTTTCTTTCCTTTTTTTTTTTTTTTTAATTGTGCTTTAGGTTAAAGTTTACAGCTCAAGTTAATTTCTCACACAAAAATTTATACACATATTGTTTTGTGACATTAGCTGCAATCCCCACAATGTGACAGCACACTCCTCCTTTCCACCCCGGGTTCCCTGTGTCCATTCAACCAGTTCCTGTCCCTTCCTGCCTTCTCATCCTGCCTCCGGACAGGAACCACCCATTTGGTCTTGTGTATCTGACTGAACTAAGCAGCACACTCCTCATGTGTATTATTTTTTTGTTTTATAGTCCTGTCTAATCTTTGTCTGGAGAGTGGGTTTCAAGAATGGTTTCAGTTCTGGGTTAACAGTGTGTCCAGGGGCCATACTTTTCCATAGGGTTTCCAACGCACTTCTGGATAAACTCAAACCTCCATCCTTTTGGTTAATAGCCACACACATTAACCATCTGCACCACCCAGGGACAATATGATTAGAGACGAGGAAAGAAAGAAATGCAAATACCTTAGCAAACGTCTTCCCCTAGGGGCAAAGCTTTAGGAGGTTGCTTTGCTGATGCAGTCTCATTTTCACCTCATGCTATTACTGCTGGTCCTTAGAGTGTGCATAACAGTTAGCTTATTAGTGCTTGTAAAAATGATTCGCATTCAGATTTTTTAGATTGTTCAGTGCTCTAATTTATTTTACCCTTTCCACCATTTCCCTTATAACAAAGTTCTTGATGCCACTCCTTCATCTCTTGACTTATAACTATGAAGAAATAGATGAGTACTTCACACTTTTGAAAGGACTTCTGTATTGTCAATATGGCAGACTAGATATCTTAAAATTTTTCTTGCAATAAAAAAAAAAAATTCAAGAAATGCAGGCGAGAAGTTTACAGACAGCTGTTTAAAAGTATACCTGGACTCACAAGAAAATTTCCTAGGACTGACAAACAGTGTAATAGCTAGAAATGAAAAAAAGTAAGATGGCAGAGATACTTTTAAGTTACCAAGACACTGTAGTTTTAGCAAATGAGAAGGAACAAAGAATTAAGACCCTGAGCTGGTACTACCTGGTGAATTGGAATGGTGGTCCTCACACAAAGCCAGGACTCATGAAAGATCATATCCTCATTTAAAGGATAGACAGTAAAAAGTACATCTACCAGTGAGGGAAAACAATAACCAAAATTGCCTATCTTGGCTTTAGATCTGATGGGGAAGGGGAGTCTCCCCTGGGAGTCACAACCATCGGCTTGGCTTCCAGTGGGTTTTAGGGTTTGATTTAACATTACTACATGATCTACCAAACCTCAAGCCATGAATTAATATAAAGTGGTTCCAAGTTGGTAAGGCACCTGGGATCCCTGGCAAAAAGCATACAAATCTGTGCTTCTGAAACATGCCTGCACCCAGACCCATAGGATTCCTGCTGATAAAATCCTGTCCACTATGGGTTCATAATCCAAATTATAAAACAAAAGGGGAAACAAATCATCTTGAGCAAGAGTAAACAGAAACAAAAGGTTAGAGAATTAAACTACCAACAAGTACTATTGACTATAAAATATAGAATATGTCCATTCAAATACTAAAAGATATAAAAGATAAAATCAAAAATATAAGACAAAGGAGACACTGTCAAGAGTTCAATCATATTTGAAAAAGAACCAAATGGAACTGCTAGAAATGAAAAATATAATTATTAAAATTAAAGAAAAAAATCATTAAACAAAAGATTAGACAGAGTTAAAGGATTAATGAATGAGAAAACTAAAGAAGCTACCCGCAACGCACACTCAAAAAGATAAAAAGAAAAAACATGAAAGGTTAAAAGACATGAGAACAGAATAAGAAGGTCTATCATACATAAAGAGAGGGAAAAAATGAGAGCGGGAGCACTAGGGCAGAGTCACTATTCAATAAGATACCAAACCAGTTGCCATCAAGTAGATTTCAACTCATGGTAATCCCATGTGTGCAGAGCAGAACTGAGCTCCACAGGATTTTCAAGGCTGTGACCTTTCAGAAGCAGATCCCCAGGCCTTTCTTCAGAGGTGCCTCTGGGTGGGTTCAAATTTCGCTTAGTAGTCGAGTCCTTAACCATGTGCACCACCCAGGGCCTCCTATTCAATAAGATAATGGTGGAGAATTTTCTAGGATTGATTAAAAAAAAGATATGAATCATAAAATTCATGAAGCACAATAAATTTAAAGCAAAGCGAAAATAAAGAAATCCATATCTAGACAATCATCAAGACACTGCACAACATCTATGAAAAAAAATTATCCTACATGCAACCAGAGAGAAAAGGCAGGTAACTTTCAATTTTACTGATTAGCAATTTTCTCAAAAGTACACAAAAGCTAGGAGAGTATGACATAATATATTCTCAAAATACTGTTAAAAAGCAACTGTATACTTAGAATTTTATACACAAACTATCAAGAGTAAGGGAGAAATGTCCCTGAAAAGATATACCTGCTGGCCCTGTCGAAGCCATCTTGACTTCTTGGGGAGCCCGAGAATGAAATATACACACAGGAGAGAAAACACTGTGTCCTGGTGACACTTTTGAACTTCTGTATGCAGGCAACCCTAATGCCAGCCCTAACTTTTGATATCTTAGTCTCTGGAGTCAATATATTTTCACCAGTTTAGTTTTGGGGTTTTGTTTTGCTTTGTTTTTTTTTTTTCTTTACTAAATCAAAATGGAATATAAATTATCAAAGTTATCTTCAGCAGGTAAACATCCAAAAAGAACCCACAAGTATCTAACTTATTCAGCAAGTGATTTATCTGAATGGGATATTGGGGTAGGGGTTGAAAATTAAGACCTAAGAGAAAAATGGAAAACAATGTAAGAGAACAAAGACAAATGATTTAAAAGGAACCCATGGAAAACAATCTGTGAATTGGCTCTGACTAAGCAAAGTCATCTTATTGGTCATGCCTTGGGGTGACATTTGATTTCAGATCAGTATTGTTCTACAGTTTATTGACTAGAAGTTAAAAAGTTGTCAATAGATCTCATCAATTTAAAAAGCTCAACTATTAGTATAAATCTTGATAAGTTGCATTTATGTTTTGTTTCGTTTTTATTATTATTATTACAGTTCAGAACAGTGTAAAAGAGTTGGCAGGAAGTAGTGCCTGGATTTACTAAAGCTATTGGGTCACTATCCTAACCATTGTAAGGAAATTTAGAATAAACAAAAAAGATTATGGGTGTCTCCACTGGAAAACTATGAATTGTTTAGAGCAGACTTCCAGGTTAGTTGAATCTAGTCTTTCATTGGCTTTGAGCTCTTTCACAACTCTGTAAGTTGTAATGACTGATAGCAAAGCAACATAATTCTTTCTTATAAGCATACAAATAAATTCTGTCCAATGCAGGTTCAATTGATTCTCCTCCGACCCCTCCACAGTAAAAGCAAGATTTGTTCATGAATTCATTTCAACATTCTTTTTCTCCATATGGAAACCCTGGTGGTTAAGAGCTACGGCTGCTAACCAAAAGGTCGGCAGTTCAAATCCAGCAGGCGCTCCTTGGAAACCCTATGGGGCAGTTCTACTCTGTCCTATAGGGTCACTATGAGTTGGAATCGACTCAACGGCAATGTGTTTTTGGTTTGGTTACTCCATATAAATTACTGCATCTTTGGTTCTGTTTTGAACCAGTTGTTTAACATCTATCTGGTTTCCTCATAAATAATAAGTTAAATAAAATATTTAACACATGTCCATTTTATATCTGAATGAAATTAGTGACTTTACCTATTTTTTGGAAGAGTATCCTTTAACTTCATCAAAAACAAGGCAATATTTCTAAAAGAAACCAAATTTCTGAAGTTTACTTAAAAAGTTTTCAAACTTTTTGCTTTGAACCAGGCTTTTAATATAAGACAATTTTACAGATTTCATTAAAATATACTTGGTTAGCTTTACTTAATATGCATAATGTAATTGAATCTTATAGATAACTGCATAATTAATTTCATTCATTAAAGTTCCATTCATACCAATATTCTAATGACATTATTACTATATTCTTCTCCAAATAGCTCATATTACATTATGATAATGTCTACAGTACAAGACAAATTCCAGAAAAGCCTTACAATCTATAATACTAGAAATTTTCTTAAAGAAATGACCATAATGTCCTTAGGTCATCATGCCCATTTTAAATAACTTGGCATTTAAATACAAAAACTTAGCAAACGAGCCACACTATAGTGTCTATTCCTTTTATCCATTCTCAGAAGTATAAATACTTACCCCATGTTCTTTAGCGGCTGTGACAACTTTAAGGAGGACATCTTCCTCAACGAATGGTCTCACAGCATCGTGGATAATCACTACTTCTGGCTTAGAGAGCTTAGAGTTGGGCCGATTCTCTGCCAGTGCTTTTAGTCCACTGAAAATTGACCTATGGCGGGTCACTCCAGATTCAACTAGCGAAATGCGTTTATGTTGGTACCTCTGGATAATACCATCCATTGCTTCCATATTCTCTCTAGTTACTGCCACGACAATGTCCTTTATCCAACAAACTCTAAAAGGAAAGTGCATAAAGATTTCATATAAATTGATTCTTAGACACCAACTAAAGTTAAGCTAATAACATAAAGTTGAATTACTACTTAGTATTGTGTACCTATATACGGAAATAGAAACTGAAAATTAATAACTAAATTAATTTTCTGTATTTTTACTACTTCCGTTAAAGAGATAAAGAATTAGTATGTCACATGATAGATAGATAATGACTGATATAATTTCACACTATATCAGAAATGTCTCACTTAAACAATTGGAATATTTGTAGATTATCTGAGAAAACAGAATGTAACAGGAATAGCATATTTGCACACAAATAATGCATTCCTTCTACATTTGTTTGCCAGCGGCGCCCTCCCTCCACGAGGTATTTTCATAAGCGCCGGCTATGTCATTTTTTTTTTACATGTTGCTGTAAAAAAAAATAGCATAACGCATTTAAGATTACTTCCCGGCAGGAGGGCGTGGTTGGCAAATGAACATAAAAGGCGCGTGTTATTTGTATAAATATACGGTATGCTTTTCACCTATTTTTTGTTGTTGTTCAAATAATTTTCCTCAGTGGAAAAGGTGTAATTCAAAGTCCTTTTGAATTCCAAAAGTTGACTGTCTCTTTCAAGAAGTCTATCCAGTTGGCAGCCAACCATTTGAATATCAACAAAGCTAGGTGACTAACCTAACACAAAACCTTGCCAACACCAAGGTGAAATCTATAGTTTAAATTGGGGGGAAACTACAATAAATCTGTATGAATATAAATTAGGATTAAATATAGTGAAAAACCTCAAAATTTAATGAAATGCTAAAATAAATTGTTCTGTTGAGTCATATACAAAATATAAAGCAATATGCTTTCTGTTGTAAAACATTTTCTTAAAGTAAGACCTACTGGCCTACTGGGCTGCAAACAGTTCACACTTCTGAGTGGCTACTACTTTAAAGCAGACTGGCAGACTTCTCTGAACACCAGTGCTAATGGAGGCTTGTCTTTCACCATAGATTCAGTGCTCCACAACCAATAATCCCAAACCAGGAAAACTGTCTCTGATGCATGATAGCAATTGAGACAAAAGGCCATTCTCTAAATAAAGGTCATTTTAAATTTTAATGGAATTCTTAGCCTGTGAGATCCAATATGTTCATTCTGAAACAGGTCTTGAAAACATTTTTAAAAGAGATGAAGAGAGGCCCGAAAATTACTGAATAATGAAAATTACTATCTACTTTTTGTACTGAAAAATGAAAATTAACATTGGGTTTCTTCGTTCAATAACAAACAATCTCCTATCTTCTGTTATTGAACAAACCCTTCCTCCAATCCAATGTCCCATTCTGCCTGTGACTACCCCAATACTACCCTGGTGAACAAAACCAAGGACTACTTTATAAGCATGCTGCCTTTTTATTTTGTCTATGTCTTTAACAAATATTTACTAAGAATCAAATAAATGATCAGCATTGAGGATACAAGAGAAATAGGCAGTAACTGCCTTTACAGAGCTTACAGTTAGAAGTGAAACAAACAAGTAAATAAACTTTTGCAAGCTGCAATCAAGATCTACGAAGGAGAAGCCTAGTGTTCAGGAAAGCTTGTAAACGGAGCACCTGACCAGCACAGAAGAGGCAGAGATGGTGTTCCTTAAGGAAGTGGAGTTTGCAGTGAGATCCAAGAGGTGAGTGGCAGGTAAGAAGGCAAAGGGGTTTAGATGGAAGGAGAGAGGGGTGGTCTAGGCAGAGGCCATGGCAAAGTCCTCAAGGGCTGGAAGAAAGGGGAGACGAAGTTCTGTGACTAAAAGGGAGGAGCCCATGAAGACACTTGGAAGCCTAGGTAAGTGCCAGGCCAGGCCATGCAGACCTCCCAGGCTATGTTAAGGGGGAGGGATACTCTTTAATCCTAAAAACGATTGGGAGCCATAGAAAAGTTTTAAGTAGGAAAAAAAAATTTTTTTCTATTAAAAAAAAAAATAAGGAATACCTGATGTTCTAGGTACTGTTCTATGGCATGATGGAAGCTGTGGTAAACAGAATAATGGTCCCTGAAAGATATCTTCATCCTAATTCCCCAAACCTGTGAATATGTTACCTTACATGGCAAAAGGAACTTTGCAGAGTGATTAAATTAAGGATATTGAGATGGGAAGATTACTCTGGATTATCCAGGTGGACCAAATGTAATCACAATGGTCCTTATAAGAGGGAGGCTGGAGGGTCAGAATCAGAGAAGGAAATGTGATGACAGAAGCAGAGGTCAGAGTGACACAGGGCCACAAGCCAAGGAATGTGGGTGGCCTCAAGAAGCTAGAAAAGGAAACAAATTCTCCCCTAGAGCCTCCAGAAGGAACACAGCCCTGCCAACACTTTGATTTTAGCCCAGTGAAACTGATTCTGGACTTCTGACATCCAGAACTGCAAGATAATAAATTTGTGCTGTTTTAAGCCAGTCTACGGTAATTACAGCAGCAATAGGGGACTAATAGAAGAGTATAAAGTTTGCTCTGGCTACAAGGTGAAGAATGGATTGGGTAGGGGAGAAAGGATACAGACAGCAGATGGGAGGCTGCTGTAGTACTCTGGGAAAGACAGTGATGGTAGCCTGGCTATCAGATGGGGTTTGTATATGTGATTTAAGATAAAATTAAGATGTGATAGATATATTTACAACAAGGACCAAAAAAAAAAAAAAAAA